ACACGCTTCGGCCTCAACCACAACGTCCTAAGGTTGAATCACTTCATGTTTCAACTACACAAAACCACATTCCATCACTTGGACGAGGGGGCGCATCGTCTCCGAGTAGCAAAACCCGAGGTAAACCAAATCACAACACCCGCGTCAAGGTAAGCTGACACTAAAGAATTTCCCAAGTCACGCAGACGCAAAGATGTTGCGCTACCACTGGTCAACGCTTCGGCTTCAACACTCCAAAGTCAAATCCCTGACACTTGAAGATTTTTGGAGAAATATTGCTCAAAAAACAAAACTCACCAATGATGGGACGCATCGTCCCTAATAGCTATAAAGGGATGAGGACCGCTACGTCTCGAATAAGAAGACGCTAGCACTCTCAAGATACAGCCTTGACACTTAAGAAAGATTTACAAATCCAAACATACTTGAAAAGACGATGAAGGAATCACGATGAGGAAAAGATTTGTCATTGATGGATACAAAGATACAAAAGGTGGGCGCTTCGGCCATTACATGCACCTCAGTGCCATAGCTACAAAAAATAAAATACAAACACTAAGCTACCACATCAGCCGGCATCCCACCATCAACTGCACCATCACCATGGCCGGCATCAGCACCATCATCACCATCATCATCCTCATCGGCCTGGGAATCGACGGGCCCTTCGAGCAGGTAGTCATCGCTGTCGCTCCACGGCTCTTCCCCCTCGTCCGAACTCAGAATCGGAAGCTGCCTCTCCGACGGGGGAAGCTTCACATCCTCATCAGGGTTCCTCATTCGCCGAGGGAGACTCAAACCTCTCGGCCTCATCTTTCGGAAGCGACGGCGAAGCTTCCTATAGATCAGCTTCTGCATTCTATACTGGCCGCAGTCATAGAAAGCCTGCATCTCGTTCATCCAAAATTCTTCGCCGACGGGGTCCTTCGTCGTCCAGTCCTTCAACCTCTCAGCGACCACATCATAACAGAAGGGGAGCTGGTCATCGGCCTTCCACCCCTCGGCCTTAAAATCAGCCACGGCCTTCTCGGCGACCTTCTCGGCGTCAGCTTTGAGCCGCTCAGCCTCCTCGGCTCTCTGGATGGCAGCAACAATGGACTCATCGGCCTTCTTCCGGGCGGCCTCGGCCTCATCAAGCCGGATCTGAAGAAGCTTCATCTCGTCTTCCGCGGCTTTGGCTTTGTCCCTCAAATCTTGGAGGGCCTCATCGGCTGAGAGAGCCTTAGCCTCCACTTTCTTAAGCCGTTCAATCTCGGCCTCCTGCCTCCAATGCTGCTCCCTCAGCATCAGCGCACCCTGGACGAAGCAAAGTAAGGTCAGAGATGAAAATAAAAACCAAGTAAAAGTCACAATGGGAAAGAATCTTACCTGGACGACATAGTCCAGACCCCCATCGTACAGGTGGACGTGCTTGCCCTGCCGGCTGAGGTATTGCCGGTCATACTCAGGCATAGCCTGAGCGAGCACGTCGTCGCCACTGACAGTCTCGTTAAAGAGCCCGCCTTTCACCGGGTAACGCACCGTCACCTCATACGTTCCCTTGGCGAGGGCCTCCTCTAAGCGGGCAGCAGCGGCAGTGGAGGGAGTCACTCGAGAAGCCGAGGCCACGACGGCCGATGAAGGTGGATCATTCCCAGCAGGGACCACCGTCGGCTGAACATCCACAACAGCCTGAGAGGAGGGAGCGCCGGCCTCGCCGTTCGTTGGAGCCCTCTTCGTCTTCTTCGAGCCCTGGCTCGACTTCAATCCCGCCTCGGCCAGAGTTTTCTGGCCTTCATCGGCTCCTCTCTTGTTCTTGGGAGCGGGCTTCTTGACGGCCTCAGCACCCCCTTGAGAACCACCAGCAGCTGCCTTGGCTTTCTGAGCAGCCTGAGCGGCCTTGAGCTCCGCATCGGCCTTCTTGGCAGCTCGAGCCATAAATGACATACGATCCATCTCAAAACCTGCACAAACAAAAGGAAAACACAAGGGTCAGCAAAACACAAAAAACAATGCATAAAGATAGAGTAAGGGGGTCAACCTTCGGCCTCGGCCGGCACACCAAGACGGGGACCGTCGGCTTGCTCATAAGAACCCACCATCTTCGGCCAAAGATCATCATCGACGTCACCAGGACAATAGTACCTCACGAAGCCGAGGGCGGCCATCCGGTACTCAGTAACATACGTCTTGATGCTCCTCGGCCCCCCCTTAATAAAGGCCTCCACCTGATTGCTTATTTCGACAGTCCATGGGGGGGAATGCAACTCAAAGAGGCCGCTGTGACCATTGGAAGGAAAGAAGCCGCCCTGACCCAAGGTGACGAACACAAACTTGGCTTTCCAACCATGGATGGACGTAGGGAGGTCCGTGAACGTCCTCCTCCCACTAATCTGCTGAAGGGTCGCATACCCAGCACAATTCTGGTGGCTCCCTCGGCCTATCCGGAACAAATTCATAAAAAGGGCAGTCGTCGGCGAAATCTCCAACTCTTTGCACCGGATCAAGAAGCCGATGATGAGCGAAAAGCTGTTGGGAGTCAATAGGGCCGGAGGGAGCTCCACCATCTCAAGATACTCCTTGATGAAGGGATGAAGAGGGAACCTCAAACCCTTGGCAAAACTCATTGGATATACACCAAAATAGCCCAAAGGCGGGTTTAGAACATGATCTGACGGCAGGGGGGCTCTAACACGGCCGTAGGGACCAACATACAACTGTGCAACATGATACTCGCCGAGGGACCCCTCCGGCCGAATAATGTAAAGGTTGCTGAGATCTAACTGAGAAAACCCTCGCGGCACCCCCTCACGCCTTTTCCGCTGATACGATTTCTTCGTCTTAGGAGCTGAGGGGCCTTCCCCCGCTACGGACGATATCGGCGGGGGGCAAGGGACGTTGGCAGAAAAAGGCACCTCATCCCCCCTCAGTGGCGAGCTAGATGACGCCTCGTCTTCACCAGAATGATGCGCCCCCGCATCGGCACTCATCCTCTCCTCGTCTACGGAGGTGCGGTAGTCAGCTGTATTCTCCATCTCAGCTTCGAATGCTTCCACTATCCGAAGATCAACTATAGGGGACGTATCGTTCTCGTCGAAGGGCCAGTCCTCTTCGTCCAACGAAGCTGTTAAGTCAAGGGGAGAGGGAGCGCTACGGCCGTCAGGAAACGGCATAACATCTAAAACCTAATCCTAAGGGCGGTTCTCGGATCAAAGTGAGTCCTCCTACAAACACTAGATCTAACCCCCTAGGAAGCAAAGTATGAGAAAAAAGCAAAGAACAAGGAAGAACTGACCTTTGAAGATATGAAGGTCTGGGAAAGGGCTGATGAAGACTTGAAGGAACACACCGGTACTCTCTCTCTCTAGAAAATGGGGCAGCAATTCGACAACAGCAAAAGCACAAATGAGGTATCGCCTCGGAGTTGAGGGGTATTTATAGGCACCCCTCCAACGGTCACTACACGTGGCAATCTCCAATTGGCCACCTCAACGGCGCCTCCCCTAAAACCAATCAGCATCTGTCTTTTCACATTCCACTCAAAGACCACCACTACGGCCCAACAGGCCCCGAATCTGGGGTAGGCACCGGCCTACTCAATCAAAACCAAGGAGAAACTCGCTACGGCCAAATTTTACCAAAGACATGGCCGCATCAGCAAAACACGCTACGGCCCCAAAGCAACCCCAAGAAACACAAGTACCGCTACGGCTATTCACACGCACATCGTTTGATGATGACCCTGGTATCGCGGCCTTCGTCCAAGGGTTCTCCCACAGGGTTACCTTGGACAGGTTCGCCTAAGGGTTGGACTCACGACTAACGCATGGGGTACCGTATCGGCTCGAGAACATCATGACTCCCTTGTGCTTCAAATACTCTTCGGCCAAAGGAGTGGGGGACTGGGGGACTGTATCGGCCACAAGAAAGGAAACAACATAAAAAGGGAGCGCAACGGCCTTAAGTGCAAAAAGGGTGCGCTACGGCTCACCAATTAGCCGCGATTCACCTCAATGACATTGCGGATCGCATCGGCTACAGACCCCAAAAATTTAAAACACTAATACAAAATACAGCGCGCAACGACTACGTACATTGGGGGGACTGCGTCAGCTCACTAAAGCAAGAATACACAAGTCAAAGCGCTTCGGCCGCATAACAGATCAAAAGCGTGCGGCTCGCATCGTCCTCACAAACGAGATCAAACATCTTCGCTTCATAAAACTATGTCACCACCACGGCCAAAAGTATGTGGGACCTCTTCGGCCCCAACAAATAATGATGAAACGGGCCAGCTTCTCCATAATTCACATCTACTGGAAAGGGAAAGCGCGCCGCATCATCCTCAAAACACTTCACAGAGAGCGCATCGGCCGCACCAAGGCTGTGAATCCTCAAGCGCGCTACGACTACATCAAATGAAGAAGCCGCTTCATCCAAAATCAAGGCAGAAACTCTTCGGCCACCAAGCGCCTCAAGCTCTCGCAACGGCCAGCCAGGAAGGAACAAATATTCCCTTTCGCTTCGGCTTCGCCTCAGCTCAGAGAGTGGGGGACTCCTGATAGAGTATATAGGCCTGGACCCCATGGCCCACATACTCAAGTCAACGATGGCCAGAAGAACACCCACGTGGCCCCCTTCGGCCAGTGGGTCCGCATCGGCCAGAAACCAAACCGGCCCAGGAAGCACGCATGGACTCCCGGGACCGCATCGGCCCATGGACCGCATCGGCCATGGGACCGCATCGGCCAAAAGGCACCGCATCGGCTCGGCTTCGTACGGGCAGAATGCATCTCTCTACTTTATTTACTAAGTATTGTACACAGCCCATTAGTGGCCCTATTTCGCCCAAAGAAGGCATGATTATTGTAATGGGCCTCCTAAGCCCATGGTTAGGAGCCCAAACCCACATTTTTTCCTATAAATAGACCCCTTGGGGCTAGTTATAGGGGGTTGAGAAATACAATTACTCACTTTCTCTCTCTAGCTCTCACTTCTCTCTAGAATTAATACTCTATCACCTGGCATTTGAGAAAAACCTTGGGCAACAAGTCGGGCTTTGTATCTAACGATTTCATTTTTCTCGTTGCGTTTACGCACAAAAACCCATTTAAAACCGACAGGTTTTACGCCTTTTGGCGTATGGACAATTGGTCCAAAAACATTACGCTTTTCTAGCGATTTTAATTCTACCTGAATTGCTTCATTCCATTTTGGCCAATCATTTCTACGACGACATTCGTCAATAGATTTAGGCTCATTGTCATCGTGTTCATTCATTATATCTGTGGCGATGGCATATGAAAATATATCATTAACATCAATATCATTTCTATTCCATTGTATTCCATTAGAAACGTAATTAATTGAAATTTCGAAATTATCGACGTTTCTATCTTTATCTGGAATATTTACCTCTTCGAAGGTGATTGGATCCTCTTTTGAGGTATCTTTATTATTGATGTTATCTTCAAAGCCGATATTTTCAAAATGTTCATTTTCTTCTTGAGAAGGTTGAACTTCTTTGGCATCACAAACTACAACTTGTTGTTTAAATTTTCTTGGTTTCAAATCTCTTGAACCAAGTGGTCTACAACATTTTTTACGTATCATAGATTCATTAGCAAGAGTTCTTTCGCTAATCTCCGCAGGAATTTCTATTCGAGAAGGAGCATTCATAGCTGGAACATGTGACTTTGTCACTTTCTTTGAGTCTATGAAAGCATCAGGCAACTGGTTTGCAACATTTTGTAAATGAATAATCTTTTGAATTTCTTGTTCACAAGCATTTGTGCGAGAATCAAGAAAAGATAAATTTGTTGCATTCCAAGTAATATCTTTCGTACGTGGGTCCATCTCTTTAATATCTCCCCCTAAGGTTGGGAATAATGTCTCATCAAAATGACAGTCATCGAACCGCGCGGTGAATAAGTCACCGGTCATAGGTTCTAGATAATTAATAATTGAGGGTGATTTAAAACCAACATAAATTCTCAGCCTTCTTTGAGGACCCATTTTAGTACGATAAGGTGGAGCAATTGGTACATACACAGAACAACGAAATATTTTTATGTGTGATATATTTGGTTCTTTACCAGATATTAATTGTAATGGGGAAAATTTATGATATGCCGTTGGCCTAAGCCGAATTAAATTTGCAGCATGCATTATAGCATATCCCCATGCAGATGATGGTAATCTGGATTTCATCAATAATGGTCTAGCAATTAATTGTAATCGCTTAATTAAGGATTCGGCAAGACCATTTTGTGTATGTACATGTGGAACTGGATGTTCCACATCAATCCCAATTGACATGCAATAGTCATTAAAAGATTGGGATGTGAATTCTCCTGCATTATCAAGTCGGATTTTCTTTATCGAATAATCCGGAAATTGTGATCTCAAACGAATAATTTGAGCAAGGAGATTTGCAAATGCAAAATTTCTAGTCGATAAAAGACTGACATGTGACGAACGTGTTGATGCATCAATGAGCACCATAAAATATCGAAACGGTCCACACGGAGGGATAATTGGCCCACAAATATCTCCTTGAATTTTTTCTAAAAATGCAGGAGATTCAACTCCAATTTTGTATAAAGATGGTCTGATAATTAATTTGCCAAGAGAACAGGCAGTGCACGGAAAATCACTTGATTGTGGAATCTTGACATTAGTTAATGAATGTCCAAGTGAATTTTCAATAATTTTGTGCATCATAGTACTGCCTGGATGACCTAAACGGTCATGCCACAAGATAAAAGAATTGTGGTCATAAATTTTAGATACCACATTTATCTCAATTGGACTGATATATGTATAATACAGTCACAAGGAATATGCTGGCATTTTTTAGAAATATATTTATTGCCAGATCTATTTGTCGTTAGACATAAATATTCCTTTTGATTTTCAGACATGGTTTCAATATGAAAACCATTTAGACGCATATCTTTAAAACTCAAAAGATTTCTCCATGATTTACTTGGGTGTAAAGCGTCTTTAATTATTAATTTTGTCCCTTTTGGGAGAATCACACAGGCTATTCCAGAACCTTCAATGAGTTTAGCAACACTGAGATTGTATTGACATTAGCATCAACTAATGTCAAATGAGAAAAATAATCACTGTCTCAAAATGTTGTGCGTTGTGGCACTGTCTATTATACATTGTTCAGAGCCACTTGAAGAAATTTTAGTTAACTCCATATCTTCGAAAAGATAAAAAAGAACAAATATTAGTTCAATACTGTAATATAAACAAGGCTTTATTCATTAAAATGTACATAACATTTACAATCGAAATAAGCACACCAAATAAAAATTACAATACAAACAAACTTTTATTGTAGAATATATTACATAACAGAATTATTTCAAATTCCTTTTTATTTACTTATTTATTATTTTTCACCCATAATGATGTCGGTGTTCATCTCATTATCGTCCATATAGAAATCAGACACATTGAATGTGGGCATTGGTGGATCGTTTTCATTGACGTAATTAGTTTCCACATTCTTTCCTTTTAGAGATGATTTATATAAATCAACCAAGTGTCTAGGTGTACGACACTTATTTGCCCAATGTTCCGACGTGCCACACGTAAAGCAAGTGACTTTGGCCTTTTCTGAAGATTTCGTCGGGCTCTTTGTTTGATGGGGTTTTTGCTTACCCTTGCCTTTGTAAAATGAGCTACTACTCTGTTTATTTCCCCGGCTAGGTCCATTATAACGACCAATACCACGACCACGTTTGAAATGTCCACGAGCACCACTATGGGTTGCATTTGATTCATGTTTTGAACCATGATTTGGTGGACCAAAACTAACCGGGCTACAACCCGTGGGTCTCATATTGTGGTTTCTCATCAAAATGTCGGTATTCGTCTCAGCACATAGTAATACTGATATTGATATGCACTAGTTAGTAGTGCATAAATGTGTGTTTTTATATCTTGTTTTGTGTGGATTGTTTACCATTTGTGTGTAGTTGTAAACATTTGTTTACTTTTATTTGTAAGTATTTTTAGCTTTTATTTGTGAGTTAGGAAGTTTTGGTAAAATTATTGGCAAGGAAAAGGAAGAAAAACAAGGAGAATGCTGCCCAGGAGTGTAAACCCGACCGGGTAGAAACCTTCACCCGGTCGGGTTTGAATTAACAATTGCGATCTCCAGGAAACTGCTTAGCCCGGTCGGGCCCTATACCTCACCCGGTCGGGTGAGACTTGACCGAAGACAACCCGACGTGCTGAAGAACACTAGAACGTGGGGAATATTTGATTTGGACCGGTACCCGGTCGGGTAGATACTCTACCCGGTCGGGTACCCGGCCAAAGGTGTTGAAAAACACCTATAAATAGCACACTTTCCTTCACTAAACATAATCCCTTCTTCCATACTCTTAAGCTCAGTTTAGAATAATATTTCTTTTATATTTTTATAGTATGTTTAGTCTCCAAATGAGGAGCTAAACTTCCATTTCTTGGTGTTGCTCTTGAAGCTTGTTGATTATTAAAGTTGTGAGTTATTTTCTTAACTTCTTTCCTTGAATATTAATGCTTCTCTTAAATACCATTTCTATATCAATGTTGGGGAGTGTTGCTAAGATGACAATTAGTTAACATCTTGACATTGGTCTTAGTAATAGCTATTCCTTCCTCTATGTTAATATTGGGGAGTGTTACTAAGATGACAATTAGTTAACATCTTGATATTAACTATAGTAGGATTCATTTTCCTTAATATTCTTCCTTGAGTATTAAATAATTCCTATTCATATTTCATATTAATATTTTTGAACATTACTTAAAGGATCAACTAGTTTTGTTTCAAATATTAATTATTACTAGAAACAATCAACGAACCGATGGTTAATCGTTGATGGTTTCACAAGTAAGTAACTTCGGTTTATTAATGCACGGTCGTGGTTAGTAAACTTAAGAGGGATTAATTTTGTTGGTTAAACCGAAACCGTTGTGTTGAGGTTATCAATCTCAATTGATTTCATCAAGGAGTTAAGAGATTAAATGCTTACTATCAAGTAGGTATATGGCGTTGTTCTATACTTGACTAATAGTAAGGGTTATTAATGAACGGTCGTTGTTAATAACTTTCCTCGATGAATTGGATATACTCCTCGATTGAGTATTCGAGAGGAGATAAGTTATAGATATAACAATGATCGACTGAAATATATCAACAAGTGGAAGGTAGCAATGCCAAGTCCTTTTTATCTTTGAATTAAATCACATATAACTCGTTCATCTTCGTGTTTAATTTAATTAAATCATTCAACCCAAAACCCCCCTTTATTTACTCCTTTCGTTAAAAAGATAAATTATTCCTTTCCCTGTGGATACGAACTCTACTTCACCTATACTACGTATAAGTGTTAGTATTGAATTTATTTTGAGTGCACTCACGACAAAATGCACGTCAGATATCAAATCAGAATACTTTTGAAAATGCTTTTGTCTATATTGCTCTTGTAAAAGCACATTTGAAACATGCATAGTGGACAAAGTTTTCTCCAACATTTTAGCATCAGTGACTTTTTGTCCGCATAACTTTAGTTTTGATGTTATTTGGAACAAAGCAGAATTGTAGTCACTTACAGATTTGTAATCCTGGAATCGTAAATTGATCCAGTCATATTGAGCTTTTGGTAAAAGGACCTTTTGTTGATGGTCATACCTTTCTTGGAGATTATCCCATAATTCTTTAGGGTCATCTACCGATAAATACTCAGATTTCAAACTTTCATGAAGATGATGACGAAGAAAGATGATGGCTTTTGCCTTATTTTGGGGAGTGGCTGAATTATTTTCAGCAATTGTATTTTCAAGGGCATTTGCTTTCAAATGTGCCAAAGCGTCGACTTTCCATTCCAAATACTTTTGGCCAGATAAATCAAGGACGTCAAACTCTCTTTTGCTAATATGTGCCATAATATTGTTGGGAAGATGATGATTTCACGGATTTGGAGCAAATTCGTGCTGATAACGTGTTATAAAATGGAAGGAAATAAGCAGAAGATCATGGAGAGAAAGTATAGTCTGAATACTTAGTGAGAAAGATGTTATTAGAAGTGTGATAATGGTGTTGTCTTAGTTTGTTGATTACAATGGAGAAGCCTCATATTTATAGGAGAAAAGCTAAGCTTCATAGGATTAGAGGATAATTGTGAACCACACAATTATCATCTAGAATCATAATTATGATTTCCTGATTATTTATATAATGGTGATAATAATTCCTAATCAAGAATAGTTGGAAGATGACTAATTCAATAATATTTCAACAACTACCACTTTAATCTAAAACATTTTCCAATTAACATGGAGTTTTAATTTAAATTAACGTCACTTTCAATTTGGAATCACATAAGGGACGCATCACATGCTCCACTTCAGGAAGAATTGAATCTGAAGCTTTCCGTTGCACCTACACCATCATCTACATTTGGAAATTACTTGTATAATTTACAAGTTATGCCTTTTGTGAAGTATCTTTGCAATGGGAAATCATCGAGACCTCACACAATCTATCTTTGCAATGGGAAATCATCGAGACCTCACACAATCATGCCTGAGATTATTTGGTGTCCGGAAACTGATTGGTTAGGGAAAAGCACCCAAGAGGCCGTGAGAGCATTTAAATGACCCTATATGAAACGATGCCCAACTCTTCAAGAAGACACCACAGAGCAAGTCAACGCCTTGGGTTTCTAAGGCCACCAACAAAGGAGGTATGACCCGTTCTCAAATTCTTACAATCCAGGATTGAGGGATCATCCAAACTTGAGGTATGGAAACCCTCAACAAACCAACCCACCTTCTCAATCGAGTATGTCTATGGAATACATGATTCGAACTCTTGCTACTACCATGGGCACCTTGCAACAAAACGTGTTGCAATTTCAACAAGAAACAAAGTCAAGCATTCAAAATTTGGAAACTCAAGTTAGCCAAATTTCGAATGCTGTGAATCGACTTGAAGCAAAAGATTCGGGTAGACTCCCTTCCCAAACTGAGCAAAACCCAAGGCGACAAGTCAATGCCATCATGATAAGGAGTGGCCCAGAATTGCACATAAGGAAAGTTGAAGAAGAAAATGATGAGGTTGACCACAAGGAGGAGGAACCAACATAGATGAAATTCCCTCCGCTGTCATCATATGAGCCACTCCCTCCATTCCCTGAGGCGTTGAAGGACACAAGGAAGCTAGAGAATGATCGGGACATGTATGAGACCTTCGCCGATTGTGAGGTAAATACCCCACTCTTTAAACTAATCCAAAGTGTTCCCCGTTATACAAAGTTTTTAAAAGAACTATGTATAATGAAAAGAAAAGATAAATTAAAGGGGAAACAAAAGGTTGAAGTTAGTGAGCATGTCTCGACCATCTTTCAGGAAAAACTTCCAAAAAAATGTAGCGACCCAGGCATGTTCACTATTCCTTGCACGATAGAAATCACCACATTTCCTAAGGCCTTATTTGATTTAGGGGCATCTATAAACGTCATTCCTTATTCCGTTTATAAAACCCTACAACTTGGCCCACTACATCAAACCGGTGTAGTGATTCAACTAGCAAATCGTTCTAGTACTTACCCGAAGGGTGTATTAGAAGATGTGCTAGTGGAAGTAGAGAATATGGTTTTTCCTGTCGATTTCTACGTCCTCGAAATGGGGAATGATGACCAAACAGCACTCATTCTTTTGGGAAGACCCTTCTTAAAGACCACAAAAACAAAGATTGACGTGTCTAGTGGTTCATTAACTTTAGAGTTCAATGACCAAAAAGTAGAGTTCAATATCTTTGACTCTACGAAAAAACAAATTAAAGATCAATCTCTTTGTTCTTTAAATGTTTTTGAACCACCAACACCAAATGTTTTAATTGAGTTGGGAACAAAGAAGAAAGGTCGGCCTTACTGGAAAAGGCTGAAGAAAAGAAATGAACCAAGGGATGTTCACGATCCCACTTAAAAGAGAAAATAAAATAAAAACAACGTCGTGCCGCGACATTAAATCAAGCGCTTCTTGGGAGGCAACCCAAGTTTGTATTACAATCATTTTCATTTATTTGTGTGTGAGAAAAGATTTTAAAAAAAAAACAAATAAAAAAAAATTATTTAAAGCCAGACCCGGCCGGGTATCTAATTGGATCCGGTCGGGTCTAGCACAAATTTTTTCCACTAGGCCTCCACCCGACCGAAGCAAGCCACATCTTCAAAAAAAATTTGACAAATACCCGACCGGGTAACTTCAACAGACCCGACCGGGTTTATCAACATTTTTAATATCAGGACCACTGCTTTGAAAATCCGACCGGATCAAACAACGAACCCGGCCGGACAAAAAAAATTAATTTAAAAGTCCAGGATTTACTAATACCTGACCGGGGTACTTGACTTCACCCGGCCGGGTTTCCATTCCAGTAGCCACTGGATAAGGAAAGTTGAACAACCCGACCGGGTCTTGTATCCCACCCGACCGGGGTGAACGGGAAATCAGCTTTACCAGGTCGGGCTCCCCTCTTCCCCTCCCATTTTTCCTTCTTCTTCATATGGACCAACCCCCCAAATCCCCCATTTTTGAACTTCAAAAGCTTCAAATCTACCCCATTTCTCCACCAAATCAATCAAATAACACCATTTTCTTCATCTCCTCTTCACCCTCTTCCACTCTATACCCATAAATCCCTCCCAAAACAACCAAATCACTCAAACCCATAAACCCTACCCCAAGGTCCGAAAATCCCCAATTTTGGACGTCCAAGGTTCGAAATCTTCCCAAAAAAACCTCAACCAACACCATATTCTTGCTCTTCTCACCACCCTCTTCAATACCATACCCATAAAAACCCCCAAACTTCACCCTAGCCAAAAGTCCTTAAATCCCTCAAGAAAAACAAAAAAAAAAAAAATCAAGTTCAATGGCTCCAAGAAAATCAAAAGGATCTTCCTCAAGGGGTAATCGAGCTATACCACCGGTGCCGGGCTATGAGAATGTGGATTTGGCTACGGAGGGTCAAAGGGAAAGCTTCATCAACCAAACAAAGAGGGAGGTAAAACAATCCCGTTTTATGTGCTTAACTACTTTAGCACTCCTATGGATTGATACCGTGATGCGTAACATATTTGCAAGAATTGGAATGACTAGAATTTTTGAAATGCAATATGTGACATATCCTCATTTGGTATATGAATTTTTTTTAGCTCATTTGCATATACAAAAGATGTGGATGATCATGCAAATGACATAATCACCTTTCGTTTACTAAATGAGAATCGTTCATTAACCAAAAGGGAATTTGCTAAACACTTTGGCCTCCCATTGTTTGATGAAGCACGTACATATGATTCTCTTGTGGGATATGAGTTATGGAAGAAAATGACAGGAAAACCTGTGGTTGAACTTTCTAAGCTGAGCGTGAACCGTGTGCAACATCCGGTCTTCCGACTATTCTTAAAATTTTGCTCAAATTGTTTTCTCGGAAGACCGAATAATCATCACACGCGTATTTGGGATGTGTGTGTTCTAGCACAAGCCGTTTTGCCGGGTCCAGATCAAGTCAATGTTGCCACCATCTTATGGACTCATTTTTACAACGTGGCAACATCAACGGGACCAATTGTGATGGGGGGCCTAGTCACACATCTAGCCACTTTATATGGTTTTGTAGACCCCGGCCCCATCACCTCAAGACAGCTTATTTGCACAGAATGGCTTTTACAAAAGACACTAGACTTGGTCCCCTCTCACACGACACCAACCGGGGCACACATCTATAATTGGCGCATCCTCCCACGCACTTCCATCTACCTCCAAATACCCTCGGCCGACGTCCCCCTAAATATCCTCGATCACCAAATCGGGGATGGCGATCACTATTGTCTTCCCGGGGCAATTCCAGATCATTATGAAGAACCCATCCAAAATGAAGATGATGAACAACCCCCACTCATGCCTGAACAACCACAACCTCAAGCATTTCACTACACACCTTTTGAGAAACAAATGCTCGATAACATGGCCATGCTCAACAACAACTACACCCAACTTCGGGATGAAGTTGGACTATATCGTACTGAGCACAGGCAGAGCTTTGAGCGGATGGAGGAGCAGCGGCAGGCAGACTGGCGCAGATATGAGGAAGACCGAAGGAGAGATGAGGAGGACCTACGGAGGACCTATGGTCCTATTTATTCCTATGTGGCACATCAGGGTAGATTTGCATCTATGGCCACTCCTCCTCCCGCACCCTCTTGGTATGATCCCACTGCATGGGGTTATTTTGGCGGCTCGAGTTCCAGTGGTGGAGGCGATGAAGGTAGTTATGGCAGGGATCACATGGATGAGGACAGACACCATGATGGAGGTATGGGCGGGCACTAGGGACAGTGCAATGAACTAGCTGGGGGGAGACTATTCTGGTAAGCTTACATTCACACTCTTTACTTTTATTCAAAAAAAAAAATAGCTGGTTAAGTTGAAAACCCACAAAGGGCAACTTAGGCAAAAATAAGCAAAAATAAGAGTGAGTTTGTGAGGATTAAAATAGGAAAATGTGGGAAGCTGGGATGAAAACCTGAAAGGGCACCTAGGCAAAAATGAGAGAATGAGAGAAACTATTTCTTTTGACTTTGCAGGATCTTAAGGGTGATGATGAAAGGGAGTTCGTTGGTGAGAGAACCGATTTTGAAGACCCCTTGATGTTGGGGATATTTTTTTGTAATCATTCTGCTTCTAGATACACTTTATGGTGGTTGTTTTGATACTTTTGTTTTGAAGACTTCATGGACATGATTTGTTTTACTCGAGACGAGTAAAAGTTCAAGTGTGGGGGTATTTGATATGCACTAGTTAGTAGTGCATAAATGTGTGTTTTTATATCTTGTTTTGTGTGGATTGTTTACCATTTGTGTGTAGTTGTAAACATTTGTTTACTTTTATTTGTAAGTATTTTTAGCTTTTATTTGTGAGTTAGGAAGTTTTGGTAAAATTATTGGCAAGGAAAAGGAAGAAAAACAAGGAGAATGCTGCCCAGGAGTGTAAACCCGACCGGGTAGAAACCTTCACCCGGTCGGGTTTGAATTAACAATTGCGATCTCCAGGAAACTGCTTAGCCCGGTCGGGCCCTATACCTCACCCGGTCGGGTGAGACTTGACCGAAGACAACCCGACGTGCTGAAGAACACTAGAACGTGGGAAATATTTGATTTGGACCGGTACCCGGTCGGGTAGATACTCTACCCGGTCGGGTACCCGGCCAAAGGTGTTGAAAAACACCTATAAATAGCACACTTTCCTTCACTAAACATAATCCCTTCTTCCATACTCTTAAGCTCAGTTTAGAATAATATTTCTTTTATATTTTTATAGTATGTTTAGTCTCCAAATGAGGAGCTAAACTTCCATTTCTTGGTGTTGCTCTTGAAGCTTGTTGATTATTAAAGTTGTGAGTTATTTTCTTAACTTCTTTCCTTGAATATTAATGCTTCTCTTAAATACCATTTCTATATCAATGTTGGGGAGTGTTGCTAAGATGACAATTAGTTAACATCTTGACATTGGTCTTAGTAATAGCTATTCCTTCCTCTATGTTAATATTGGGGAGTGTTACTAAGATGACAATTAGTTAACATCTTGATATTAACTATAGTAGGATTCATTTTCCTTAATATTCTTCCTTGAGTATTAAATAATTCCTATTCATATTTCATATTAATATTTTTGAACATTACTTAAAGGATCAACTAGTTTTGTTTCAAATATTAATTATTACTAGAAACAATCAACGAACCGATGGTTAATCGTTGATGGTTTCACAAGTAAGTAACTTCGGTTTATTAATGCACGGTCGTGGTTAGTAAACTTAAGAGGGATTAATTTTGTTGGTTAAACCGAAACCGTTGTGTTGAGGTTATCAATCTCAATTGATTTCATCAAGGAGTTAAGAGATTAAATGCTACTATCAAGTAGGTATATGGCGTTGTTCTATACTTGACTAATAGTAAGGGTTATTAATGAACGGTCGTTGTTAATAACTTTCCTCGATGAATTGGATATACTCCTCGATTGAGTATTCGAGAGGAGATAAGTTATAGATATAACAATGATCGACTGAAATATATCAACAAGTGGAAGGTAGCAATGCCAAGTCCTTTTTATCTTTGAATTAAATCACATATAACTCGTTCATCTTCGTGTTTAATTTAATTAAATCATTCAACCCAAAACCCCCCTTTATTTACTCCTTTCGTTAAAAAGATAAATTATTCCTTTCCCTGTGGATACGAACTCTACTTCACCTATACTACGTATAAGTGTTAGTATTGAATTTATTTTGAGTGCACTCACGACAAAATGCACGTCAGATATCAAATCAGAATACTTTTGAAAATGCTTTTGTCTATATTGCTCTTGTAAAAGCACATTTGAAACATGCATAGTGGACAAAGTTTTCTCCAACATTTTAGCATCAGTGACTTTTTGTCCGCATAACTTTAGTTTTGATGTTATTTGGAACAAAGCAGAATTGTAGTCACTTACAGATTTGTAATCCTGGAATCGTAAATTGATCCAGTCATATTGAGCTTTTGGTAAAAGGACCTTTTGTTGATGGTCATACCTTTCTTGGAGATTATCCCATAATTCTTTAGGGTCATCTACCGATAAATACTCAGATTTCAAACTTTCATGAAGATGATGACGAAGAAAGATGATGGCTTTTGCCTTATTTTGGGGAGTGGCTGAATTATTTTCAGCAATTGTATTTTCAAGGGCATTTGCTTTCAAATGTGCCAAAGCGTCGACTTTCCATTCCAAATACTTTTGGCCAGATAAATCAAGGACGTCAAACTCTCTTTTGCTAATATGTGCCATAATATTGTTGGGAAGATGATGATTTCACGGATTTGGAGCAAATTCGTGCTGATAACGTGTTATAAAATGGAAGGAAATAAGCAGAAGATCATGGAGAGAAAGTATAGTCTGAATACTTAGTGAGAAAGATGTTATTAGAAGTGTGATAATGGTGTTGTCTTAGTTTGTTGATTACAATGGAGAAGCCTCATATTTATAGGAGAAAAGCTAAGCTTCATAGGATTAGAGGATAATTGTGAACCACACAATTATCATCTAGAATCATAATTATGATTTCCTGATTATTTATATAATGGTGATAATAATTCCTAATCAGGAATAGTTGGAAGATGACTAATTCAATAATATTTCAACAACTACCACTTTAATCTAAAACATTTTCCAATTAACATGGAGTTTTAATTTAAATTAACGTCACTTTCAATTTGGAATCACATAAGGGACGCATCACATGCTCCACTTCAGGAAGAATTGAATCTGAAGCTTTCCGTTGCACCTACACCATCATCTACATTTGGAAATTACTTGTATAATTTACAAGTTATGCCTTTTGTGAAGTATCTTTGCAATGGGAAATCATCGAGACCTCACGCAATCTTGCCTGAGAGTATTTGGTGTCCGGAAACTGATTGGTTAGGGAAAAGCACCCAAGAGGCCGTGAGAGCATTTAAATGACCCTATATGAAATGATGTCCAAACTTTATACCACTCTATGTGGGTTGTTAGATAATCTTATATGCGGCAATATCACAAATACAAACCAGGGCCGTCTAATGAATTTGGAGGTCCTGGTTCAAAATGTAAAATCGAGGCCCCATATTAATATAAAAAAATTTGAAAAAAAGTCGACCAAAATACTTATAATTAAATCAATTGAATACTCATTAAAAAAGAACTAAAGAAGTAAAAGGACCAATGAAAAATATGATGAATCTATATTTTTCTTCCTTACTAAATTTATTTTACTGATTAGTATGAATACGAAGTATATAATACTACTCCATACTATATAATACTAAAAGAAACTTAAAAATTTGGGGCCCCATAAATTCAGGGCCCTGTTCTGGATACCCTATTGAACCCCCTAAAAAACGGCTTTATACAAATATACAATTGATTCTTTTATAATCATACCATTTATATCTTACTTTTATACGGAGTAATTAATAGCTATATAATGATCATCAAATTTTGTTCAATAAAAAAACATTTGACGGATTAATTCTTGTATGTTTTGGCAAGAACAAACACCGATTAATTCTATCTTAGGCTTATTTTATTATTCATTTCTCATATTCTCTATTTCCTATGTTTGAAACGAGATCCCAACCATGTTGTTGAGTTAGTGTTCTGCGGATTACACCGGGTTTCTATTTAGGTAGTCGTTTCTTCGTATGATTGTTTTGGCAGTTGAATCTTCCTTGCATTGGATAGACCACCTTTTAGGAGCAGAGGTGTAAATGTGTGATTGGCAGAACACCTGACATAGAAAATGTAATGCAATTGAAGCTAGCAGTCATCAACTTGAAAGAGCCTTGGACTCTCATGTGTTGCTACTGCTATGGAGGCATTTTCATTCTATGTCAGACAGTTTTTGAGTATGTCCAAGTCAAATTGCATGTGAAGAATAACAATGCAGATACATTTTTAGGTTTGAATCTCTTCATCACCAAATAATTACGTATTGAATTCTGATTGATATAGTAGCAGGCTCAACGTGCATTGGGCTCTTAATGATTTAAAAAGATCCGATAAATATTGTAGCAACTAAGGGATTGTTTGAATCTGATTCTTAAAACTGCTCCTTCAGGTAGAAAGAGAAGCCGGGGTGTTTGGGTGAAAGTGGAGAAGTGATTCTGATGCTCAAATTTACTCCTATAATCAGTTTTTTAAGAAGCTGAAGGGTGACTGGCTTCTGAAAACTGATTCTAATTATGCTTTAAGAAAGAAGAATGAGTTTCAAACACCCCTAAATATGGTTGACTTGAAGCAAGCCCATATCTCTATCGTGAAGAATTTAAGTAATTGAGCTTAAACAAGACTAAAAAGCTGAAATAGACAAACAGAAACAATAAGGGAGCACTGGACATAATTGAACATCTTTGCAAGAAGTCAAACGTTTGCATTCATGTAAGATATTATAGAAAAACCCAAAGAAAAACAACTCCAACGAGCACACAGATGTGGTTGTAAAATTACATTAGAACAAAAAACAAGAGAATGCAGAGCAAAGTTTAGTTGAACAAAGTAGTAGTGGAATTATAAGAAAGAGTACAAGTATAAGCGGCAAAGGGATACGAGAGACATGAGGCTAAACAAACAGTTCGCCTCAGTCCTCCATCATCATCATCATCATCATATGGGTTTGCTTGATTAGAAATTGTCGTCGTTGAGGTGGTACCGAGCGAGGATCTGGCCACAGCGAGCCAGGGGTGTTTTCACACCCGACAACAAGATGTTAGCCTGGCGTGTGCCGTCCACCATGCCATTGTTGTGGGTGAGGCTGAGGCGGGAGCTATCGCGGCCCCTTAATGGTGCGCTGGCATCAGTGTGGCTGCTGCTCACGAGAGTGGCGTCGCAGACGTCATCGCCGTGGTCTTGCACAGAGAAGGTGTACTCCCCGTTCAAGTCTGTAACGGCGTAGTCAGTGTGGGTAGCGGTATACGACTTCCTGCAATTGCACATCAGTTTCACAGTTGCACCTGTCATGTAAGAACACACCCGCATGGGTTTACAAGCAACCAATCAATTGCATAAATATATATTTATAGAAAACTGGTGAAGAAATTAGCTAGATCTGAAATCCTGCACATCAGGCGTAAGTTTATTCCCTAGATCTGAATACATTATCAAGCTCACTGAAACCAAACAAGGGACTGGCATTGTAAGATGATATTTATAGATCGGATCCGAAGTACAAGGTTAGAGAGAGCAAATGAAATCACCAGCGAGGGGAACAGCGGCTTCAGTTTCGAAGCCGGCGTTGCAATAGTCAAGGAGGACTGTTCCTTTGACAGTAAGGTTCGAGTGGGAAGCGGAAACAGTGACAGTGGCGGCGACAAAGGCACAGAAAACAAAGAGTGCTGCTGCTGCTGCGAATCTCGCCATCTTCTTCTTCTGGTTTGGTTTTGGGTTCGAGAGCGAGATGATCTGAGAAAATAAAAGAGGGATTGAATATCTAATTATGTATCGCTTGGAGAGTGGGCGTCAATCGCGGCCAGACACCGAAGCGTAATATGCGTACGCGCAAACCCTTTATTTCACTTTGATACGTGCTTTCTCCCTCCCGTCATTCTTTTTAAAGACGTAAATCATACGGAGTAATGATAAGACTGCAGCTGTATTCGGTATGCTCTCTATAGTCGATAAGTATTTTTCTTTTACTTTTCTTTATAAGGAAAAACCGTTTATATCAGTTTCATTACTATTCGCTAGTACATGCGAAAGAGCAATATGAATCGGTAACCATCAAAGGGGTGTGACTCAGTAATCACCGGCCATATAAATCCTTCTAATGACATACAAAGTAATATCTAGCAGAATTATCTATCCTTATCGTAAACCTAAAATTAAAGATATCAATAAAAAATAGAGCAACATAAACAAACTTAATGCGAAAGTAAGACTATAAAAAAAAAATTGACAAACACTCCAAGTTTCTTCCTGCCAGTATCATCATCCAAACCATCGCTCCAGGGCCGCGGTGAATGGATCGCCGATCTTTCTTCTCCCTTGCTCAGAACTTGATCCAGAAATTATCGAGCGGTTTTCTAATCAAATATATCAATCACAGACTTCCAGATTCGATGCATAGCAACACATTCAGAAACATCAACCATAGAGAAACGGACAATGGCAAGTCAGAGCGTGGTAACGAGTGTCATCTCACTGTTGCTCCAAATCATTCGCCGGGCAAGCAACGGCGTAAGCCGCCTGCCAGAAAGACAAACCCTAGACGAAAGCTAGGGAGAACCACTCTCCGTAAACTAATTGCCGCTGATCAATATTGCATCGAACCCTTTCATACAAATCGAGGAGATGTCATTGGAACACTTCCAAATATCCAAAAATATCCGAAAGAGAGTGAGCTGTGTTGAAGTGCTACTGCCGCAAACCGTTAGGTGATTCCTATCCTCTTCTATAGTGATCAATTGGAAAAGAAAGGATAATGAAAGCACTGTGCCGCCACCTACTGGGTTCGTCCATCGTGAAGTATCACTTGTTATATTTGTAATCCTAATTCTGGTTATATTTATCCATGATGTTAAATGCTTAGATCGGAAGGTAAAGCAAGATTAAGAATAATTTAGGTCTGGCCCGTTTCAGCCTTTATATTTTGGTTTGGGCCTGTTTTAGAAAAGTCCAGTCCATTCTCTATATCTTTGACCCAGCTCTTTTGATTTGCATATAAGACGTCTCCTTCCTTCCTTCTGGAGATATCTTTTGCGTCATTTGAAACCCTAAGTCCAAAAAGGCGAGTCTGAGAGCTTGAGCGTTGAAGAGAGAGAAACCTCTGGTTTTTTCTTCTGTTCGTTCGATTCTACTTCACTTGAGGTCAAAACAAGCTGAGAAAGGTTGGAGATCAATCGTGTGGAGAAGCTGGAACGCTGGGCTGTTGGTTCGATTCCAAGAATCTGATACACCTGGGTTTCTGAAGCTTTGTTCGGTTATTTCTATTCCTTTTACTATTTTAGTTGTATTGCTTGAGTTTTGGCTGATTCTTGTGTGTTGGATCTTATTGATTTCTGGTCTTGCTTTGCAACCATCTTTGTATTCAAACTTTTCTGAGCTAGTGGATTCTTGGGACCGGGTTTCCCCTGTTGAAACCCCGCAGAGTAGGATTTATCCGAACTGCGTCAACATATCGTGTGTTCATTTCTTTATTTTTCTGTATTAGTTGAATAAGAGTTGTGAATCCGATATTTTGGCTGTGACTATCAATATAGTCTGTGAACAATTTTGGTATCAGAGCCTATACTTTAGATTCTTGAAACCCTAATCTAAATTTCTGATTTGATTGAGTTTTTTCAAGAAACCCTAATAATTTGGCTTGCTGTTCTTCGATCCTGAAACCCTAGCTCAAAACTGCTTGAATCTTGATTGCATTTCTGTTGTGCTTGTCTGATTGCATCCTGACTGTTCTTTAATCTGCAAACATGTCTGACACTGGTATCAAGATCCGTATCTTTGATGGTACCAGTGATTTTCCCATGTGGCAGCTTAAGATGAAAGCTCTCCTGATGAAGCAGAAATGCTTTGGAGTTGTCTCATCTGATACTGTTCCCAATGTGTCTAGTTCTGATCTGACTGAATTGAAAAATGCTGCATATTCTGAATTGATTATCCATCTATCTGATAATGTGGCTAGAAAATTTTCTACTATCACTGACCCTAAAGTGTTATGGGATACCCTTGAGTCTACTTACATGAAAAAATCTATGTCAAGAAAGATCTCTCTGCTCTGTAGACTGTTTACCTTTAAGATGAATGTTTCTGTGTCCTTATCTGAAAACTTGGATAATTTTCTGAAATTGACTCAAGAAATTGAAAAGGTAGATGAAAAGATAAAAGACACCCATCAAGCTGTTATCCTGTTAAATTCTTTACCACCCCAGTTTGATAATTTCAAGGATGTCATTCAGTACTCTAATGATGATCTCACCCCTGGTAAGATCACTGATGCTATACTTGAGAAGAATGAATCCCTGAAAGTTTTTAAGTCTAAATCTGATCCCTTTAATACTGATAAAGCTGAGACTAAGAATGAAGCCCTGGTTATTAAAGGGAAACCAAAGAACAAAAAGAACAATTCAAAGAAGAAGAATAAAACTGATAAAGATAATTCTGATAAGAAAACCTTCAAATGTCACTACTGTGGCATAGAAGGACATTTTGCAAGAGACTGTAGGAAAAAGAAAAGGGACAAACAAGGTGATAATAAGAATAATCCTAACCCTACTCCTAACACAGAATCTGCAAATGTTTTTCAACATGAATTGCTTGTTTGCTCTGGATCTTCTTTGAATGATGAATGGATTTTAGACTCTGGGTGTACATTACATGCCACTCCTAACAAGACCTATTTCTCTTCCCTGACTCAAAATGATGGGGGAAAGGTCATGTTAGGAGACAATACTGCCCTTGATATCAAAGGTGTTGGTAATGTTCCGCTGAGGATGTTTGATGGGGTTGTAAGGGTTATCCAAAATGTTAGGTGGGTTCCCTTCTTAAGAAGGAATCTTTTGTCTGAATCTGTTTTTGATGATCTGGGTTGCACTATTAATACACAGGATGGGTATAAGGTTGTTTCCAGAAATGGAAATGACCTTATTAAAGCTAATAAGAGTGGGGGACTTTACTTAGTTAATTGCTCCCCTGAACTTAATTTAGCTGTTTCTGTTAATAATAGCACCACCCAGAAACAAACTGAGATTTGGCACAACAGATTGGGTCACATTGGGAATGTGGGTTTGAATAAGCTGTTTAAAACTGGATTTTTTGACTTTAAACCTGTAAACCTTGGTTTTTGTGAAAATTGTACTTTTGGTAAGAAAACCAGACATTCTTTTGAACAATCTTCATATGTTGCTTCTGCTCCCTTGGAATTGGTTCATTCTGATTTATGGGGACCTTCCAAAGTGAGCACAACTGGAGGTAGGAAATACTTTCTATCTCTAGTTGACCACTTTTCCAGGAAGGTGTGGATTTTCTTACTAAAAACTAAGGATGAAACTTTTGAAAACTTCAAGAATTGGAAAACTTTGGTTGAGTCTCAATCCAATTTTAAACTGAAAGCTTTGAAAACTGATAATGGTCTTGAGTTCTGCAATAATGAATTCAATGGTTTTTGCAAAAATGAAGGGATCAAAAGATTACTTACTGTCCCTGGTACTCCTCAGTAGAATGGCACTGCTGAAAGGATGAACAGGACCTTGCTTGAAAAGGCAAGGTGTATGCTCATCAGTTCAGGACTTGGAAATTCCTTGTGGGGTGAAGCAGTGGTTACTGCCTCATACCTTGTTAACAGATCCCCATCTTCTGTGATCAGTTTTAAAACTCCACAGGAAATGTGGTCTGGTATTAAACCAAACATTTCTCATTTAAGGCCTTTTGGGTGTGCTGCTTATGCCCATGTTTCTCAAGGTAAACTACAACCTAGAGCCTTGAAATGTGTAATGTTAGGTTATCCTGAGGGAATTAAAGGCTATAAGCTACTGGTTTTACAACCAGGGGCTTATAAGTGTATTGTATCCAGAGATGTTACTTTCAATGAATGTGATTTTCCTTGTAAAAGAACTGATACTACTTCAAGTAAGTATGCAGGTGTTTCTGATGGAAATTTCTTTGAATCTTTGGATGATGATAACTCTTTGTATAAAGAGGATCATAGTGGAATTCTCCACAATGATGCAAATGATTATTCAGAGTCTGACACAGATCAACAAGATGACCTCAATGGAGGTGAACAGGTAGTGGTGAGTTCAGACTCACAAGGTAGTAACTCTGGTTCTCATACTACCTCTGTGCATGAACTAACTGATACTGCTGTCAATGATAATGTGCATGTTGATAATAATGACACTGATAATCATAGCACACCAAATTTGGCTGACTATCAACTGGTTAGAGATAGAGAACCTAGAACTATTATTCCTAATAAAAGATATTTCTCTAATCTTGCTGAATTTGTGATGATTGCTGCTGAAGTAGTTAAACAGTTAGCTCCTGATAACTTTGAACAAGCTATGATGTGCCCTAAGTCTAATGAGTGGATGAAAGCCATGCAGGAAGAACTTCAGTCCATGTACTTTAATAGGACCTGGACTTTAGTTCCTAAACCTAAAAATGCTAAAGTAATTGACTGTAGGTGGATTTTTAGGTTAAAAGATAGTCTTGATCCTACAGAACCTCCTAAGTTTAAAGCCAGGCTTGTAGCTAAAGGTTTTAGACAAAAGGAAGGTATTGACTACCAAGATATCTTTGCACCTGTTATAAAATTCAAAACTTTGAGATTAATGTTGGCTATAACCACTGTTTTTGACTGGGAGTTGGAGCAAATGGATGTTAAAACTGCTTTTTTGCATGGAGACTTAAAAGAAACCATTTTCATGTCTCAACCTCCTGGTTTTATCAACAAAGAGTTTCCTGAACATGTTTGTCTTCTTAAAAAATCAATCTATGGACTTAAACAGTCTCCCAGACAATGGAATTTGAAGTTTGATTCCTGCATGAGTGAACTTGGTTTTTTAAGGAGTAAATATGATACTTGTCTGTATTATAAACATGTTGGAACTGAAAATGTTGTTTATATTCTGCTG